GTGGACTGGATAACGGCTCACCAAAGAGGATCTCTATGTTACACTAAAAATTAAAGGGAAACTGACAGATTTATGATCATATATTTTAGTTAATAATGAAATATTAAATGGTTGTTTGTTCTGACCACATCATATTGAATTTTTGCAAAAAAAAATTCATTTAATTTAAAAAAACTGTTTTTTAGGTCCAGCCCCCCTAAAATAGGCCTAGTGACGCCACTGTATTTCTTCATTTATAAAGCACTTTAAAACAACCACAGCTGCAACAAAGTGTCAAACCAACACATGAAAAACACAAAACAAAGATTAAAAACTATAAAATCAAAAAAAAAGAAATACAACAATTAATCTTAAATTATAATCTGGGACTCTAGACCCTTCATATGTCTACAAAAATGTAGCTTTGACATGCAAACTGTACTTAAAACAGCATCACAACAAATCAAAGCCTCCCGGTTATATTCCACATCAAGTTGAAATGAACAAAAAAGCAGAATAAATCCAAAAATAAAACGTAAAAAAAGAGTCCTGGTTGTGTTTCGCTCCTGCTGGTGCCTCCTGCTACTCACCATCTTCAGGCGTGAACAGTGGAGGTTTGGATGATCAAGAAAGAGAAGATAGTGTGAAGCCGCGTTAAACGTATATTCCCAGGAGCTTATATACCCCTCCTCGGCCCGCTCTATCTTTAGCCTCAGCTTCAAGTTTGGATGGAGATATAAAAGAGAGAGGGAGAGAGAGAGAGAGATGGAGAGAGAGAGAGCACGGATGGCTAAAGCAAAGGAGACAGAATGGCGGGACAGCTATCACCTTACAGGAGATCAAAAATAGGCCCAGGAGTCTTGGAATTAAGTAAACCTGATATGTGGGGGACTATGCAGTCCCACGTGGACTAATAAGGGTATTCAGAACATAGATGCTCCGTTGGACCGCTGGACACTGTCCCTCCTCCCTCCTCCTGTCCACCTCCATACAGAAAGATGCCGTGGGTCGCGCTCTGACTTTATTTTTGGTTTGTGATGGTCACTGCGATTCTATATTTTATACTCGGCCCCCGGGTGCAGCTCTGCTCTGCTCTCATCGGGGGCCGGAAAGTCGAATTTAAAGGTTTCCTATAAAAGTCTGACTCCGGTCCTGCTCCTCGAGGGCCACTGATCCTGCAGGTTTCAGATGTTTCTCTGATTTGAAACGCCTGATTTGAGTGATTAACAGAGTTCTGAGGAAAAGGGAAGCAACTAAAACATGCAGGATTGTGGCCTTCGAGGACCAGGACTGGTCTAATCTGCAAGCCGAATAAAGCAAAACCAAGTCTTGTTCATGCAACCAGATCATTCCCAGCAGAACTCAATCCACCGCTCATCTTTAGTGTTGATGAGGAAGATGGTTCTTCTTGCATTAATGCAGATATTTTCAAATCTCATGATGCATTTCTGTATTTTTCCATGTGATTTGCAAACCTGTAGTTCAATTCTAACATTAAAGTGCCTGTGACATCAAATTTTTGTGATAAATGTGAATGCGTTTTTGGAAAGAGAACATTGATAACATGTTGCAAAACAAATTTCACGCCGTTGAGATGAACAGTTGTTGAGATATTTGCATGTGAAGAAACAGGAAGTGATGTCAAAGGGGAATGTCTGCATGTGAACAGAGCGATGCTACAATAATTAGAGAAGAATKTGATGTTTCTTTAGAATATTTTGAGTCACTATCAGAGTTGAAGAAGAATTTAAATAAGATTGTTTCAATAAACAAAGACTAGTTTCTTTTCTTAAAGAGTTCCCCTTTGATGTCACTTCCTGTTTCACTTTGCTGAGCCAAATTCAAGAGAAAATGTGCCAGTTATGGGACAAAATGGGTAAAATAATGCACTATGCTAATTTTATTAAATATATATATTTTTTACTTTTTGTATTTGAAGAAAAAGCATGTCACAGGCACTTTAAAGTGAACTTTAAAAAAATCCCGATTTACCTTTGTTTGCGGCATTCGTTTTTAATAGTTTCACTTTCTTAACATAGATAATGTGTAGAAATTACTCATTATGAACTCAGTAATTATATCATAGAAAAATAACCAGATATTTTATAAAAGAAATCAGAATAAATTAAAACTAAAACGTTTAAATACTATATTAAAACGCACGTTTGATTAAAAATAAATACATTTCTCGGCCTAAAGCTCCTGAATATTAGAAAGTTGTTTCCTTTTCGTTTTCATGTCGGCCCTAAATAAACTAAAAATCCCTGAAGGGTGAAATCACCATTAACCTTTGACCTCAGCAGCTTTACTACAAAGGTGTGTTTGGTGGGTGGCCACAGTTCTGAACATTTGCCCACCTGTTGCGCCCCCCCGTCTGACCCCCTCTTAAATATACAGGATTACTCGTCAGGGTGATGGCAGCAGACATTCCCGGCCGACAGCTGAGAGACACCAGAATAGCTAAATAAACTTGACGGTCTGCCAACATGCCGGGCCCCGGGAGCAGAATGCTTCCCTTTGTGTTTTTCTAAGGTTTTACATCCAAAATTACCTCGGAGTTAATCCGTTTTCTTTTGTTTTATCAATTTGTTTTAATCTGGTTTGTGGGACAGATTTACTCTGGCTCTATAGTTGGGATTCCTCTAGTCTCCTCTAACCTGACGAGTCGTGTTTTGGTGGATTAGCGGGACTTCGGAGCGGGGCAACGCTTACGTCAGCCTTCCCCTTGTTCTCGTTGACCTTTGACCCCCGGGCTCACCTGATGATTGGCTTCTGCGTCGCGGAGATGAGCTGAAGGCAGACGCATTACACAAATATTTAATAACTCAGACTGAAAGTAATCCAGAGATGATCAAACAAAACAGCAGCAGAGGTGGAAATAAAACCAAATAAATCTGTGAAAATAACAGAGTGACGATTGCATCACTGCTGAGATTTACTGAAGAACCTAAAAGTAACAAAATGCTAAATAAAAGCTAAACAAAGCAAAATGCTTACTAAAAGTAGAAAAAGACAAGACAAAAGCTAAATTAATCAAAAAGCTACCTAAAAGTAGCAAAATGATAGCTAGAAGTAAAACGAGCAAAATGATAACTAGAAGCTAAAGTAACAAAAATGATAGTTAGAAGCTAAAGTAGCAAAATGATAACTAGAAGTTAAAGTAACAAAACATCTAAAAGCTAAAGTAGTAGCAAAATGACAGCTGGAAGCTAAAGTAGCAAAATGATTGCTAGAAACAAAAGAGGTAAATGATAACTAGAAGTTAAAGTAACAAAACATCTAAAAGCTAAAGTAGTAGCAAAATGATAGCTAGAAGCTAAAGTAGCAATATGATTGCTAAAGCAAAAATGATAATTAGAAGTTAAAGTAACAAAATATCTAAAAGCTAAAGTCGTAACAAAAAGTAGCAAAATGATTGCTAGAAGCAAAATGATAACTAAAAGCTAAAGTAGCAAAATGATAGCTAGAAGTTAAAGTAACAAAATGGTAGCTAAAGCAAAAAGTAGCAATAAGCTAGAAGTAACAACACACTTTCTAAAAGCTAAAAAAGACTGACCATTATTTGTAAAACAATAGCCAAAAGTCTCAAAAGGATAAAGTAGTAAGCTATAAAGGGAGCTAGTTCCAAACTACAAGTAGCAACACACTTGCTAAATACTAATAGAAGCAAAAGACTGATTAAAAGTTTCAAAAGGCTTGAAAAAAGCTAGCTGATGCAAAACATTTGCTAGAAGCTAAAAGTAGAAAGTGTAGCTTTTTGCTACTTTCACTGTGATTTTGTTTTGCAGCTTTAGCATTTGCTAAACTTTCAATGCTTTTAGTTAACATTTTGCTGCTTTTGCTTTGCTACTTTTAGTTTTCAGTTAGCCTTTTGCTAATTTTAGCATCTAGCTTCCACGATGTTACTTTTAGCTTTAAACTAACTTCCTGCTTTATCTCCTTTGAACCTTTGGATATTTTAGCTCTCATGCTGCTTTTTTTTTTTACAGAAACACATTTCTTTGTAATTTAACATTAAATAGCCTAATAACATTTTTCTTAAACATTAGACAGTTTTAGCTACTATTTTATTGACAATAAATGGCATTTTCTTTGAAAACGTGTTTGTTTTTGCAGATTAATGTCTTTCTTGTTGTAAATATTGACGCTGAGTCCCATTCCTGACTCATTTTGTCATTTTTGTCCCTCTGATTATAAATAGCATCCCGACTCTTGAAATAGGACAGGAAGCAGCGACGGACGTCTCAGCTGCTGAACTTTACTGACTTTACTCACTTCCTAATGGGTTTGCATTCGTCTGTCATGTGTGTTTTCCTACAGGTGTGCGTTCGCCGCGTGAGGCCGCTGGTGTAGAGTGACACATCGGACCACTCTCCTCTAGAACCATCAATCAACTCCTAGACCTCCTGGTATGAGAGTCTTTATGGTCTGGAATGTAAAGAAGCTCCCGTCCTGACCTCTGAGGAAGACATGAGACACGAGAGACGTCTGAACGATGGATGGATGGATAGATAGATGGGTAGATTGGTAGACAGATGGGTAGATATGTGTTGTTTCTCTCCTTTCTCATTTTAAACTTCCTGTTTTTGTTTAAATAAATGTTAATCCTTTTCACCTGTTTGCCTTCAGAGTTTCGACCCTTTTAAGTGTAGCCTCACTGTTCCACCTGCCTCCTCCTCAATCACACACCTGTATTCTGTTTTACTATGACTGACCTCTTCTTTCAAGCGCATACCTCCACCTCTCCAAGTTCTCTTCCACCTGCTCAGATCACTTTGAAAAGCGTACCTTTATAAAAGGTGTAACGTGCAGCTGCAAACATAAATAACCATAAAGCTCTGTCCTTTTTAAAAAGAGTTTTAAAGAGTCTGACTTCCTCTCTTCACCTGATGTCCTGTTCAAGCTGAACATGTGAACAAATTAAATTAATTCAATCTGCAGCTCCCTCTGCTGTTCTGCACCCTCCACTGACGGAGCTCATTAAACCATTATCACTTCACTGGTCCTCTGTGCAGACATCTTTTAATGTTTTCTTTGTTCACACTCCTCAGTTCGACCCTTCTGCCTTTGTTAGTTTGATGCTCAAGCGTTACTAACCTGGTTTCAGTTTGCTGGGATTGCAAAGGAGTCATTTGATTGAATAAACTTGTTTTATTTACTCACATTTTTTTAAAAAATAGCTCTTGGTTAATACTGCATCTTAACACTTATTTGTAGYTTGAAAAAAAAAGACTGCTTCAGTAAATCTGGTCATTAAGTCAAGGTTTCCTGGTTTTTGTTATGAAGGAAAGATGTCACCTTACTGACTTGCTGGCATGAATTACAAAGAATAACGAGGTTATTTTCTGAATAGTGCAAATGTAAAAAGGCGTGACATATTTGCTCTTTGCTGCTCTCAGATTTATATATAGAAGCGCTTCAGGTTCAGTTCCTGATTGAAGTAAAAGTCTCTTTTTTTTCACCCGAGGTCAATAAGATCTCTGTCACTGCTTTCATCTGGTGTCTGTCGACTCTTCACCCACTCCTCCCTCGCTTTCTTCACTTCTTGACCATAATAATCGTGAAGTTTGCTGAACTCCACGAGTGGATCGGACCCCACCAGAGGCCATTCGCCGTACAAAGGTGCTGGTCCGTTGAGGGGTGTGACGTAAGCGTTCCTCCTTGGCCACAGTTTGGGGGACTTTTTAGGCAACACCTTGGTTGAAGCTGAGGGTGAATGTAGAACCGCACTGGCACTGAAGCTTCTCCCTTCTCTGATGACTGCAGATGGTTCTTCTGCAGACAAGAGGCTGTTGGTGGATGGACTGAGGAGATCCACAGAGGAGGGGGGGCCACTGGAGCCTCGTTGCTGTTTGGCTTCTATGGAAACAAGAATGTCAATTAACAATCAAGCAATAATGAAAAATAATAAGTATCAAAACTCTAACATTGATATACTTAAGGTTAACCTTTGATGTAATTTGAGATATTCTCTGATATAGTTCAAGATATTCTTAGATGTAGTTTGGGATAAGCTTAGATGTAGTTTGGGATAACCTTTGATGTAGTTTGGGATAACCTTTGATGTAGTTTGGTATAACCTTTGATGTAGTTTGGGACAAACTTTGATGTAGTTTGGGATAACCTTTGATGTAGTTTGGGATAACCTTTGATGTAGTTTGGGACAAACTTTGATGTAGTTTGGGATAACCTTTGATGTAGTTTGGGGTAACCTTTGATGTAGTTTGGGACAAACTTTGATGTAGTTTGGGATAACCTTTGATGTAGTTTGGGGTAACCTTTGATNCTTTGATGTAGTTTGGGGTAACCTTTGATGTAGTTTGGGACAAACTTTGATGTAGTTTGGGATAACCTTTGATGTAGTTTGGGGTAACCTTTGATTTGGTTTGGGACAAACTTTGATGTAGTTTGGGATAACCTTTGATGTTGTTTTGGATAACCTTTGATGAAGTTGGGGATAATCTTTTTTGTAGTTTGGGATAACTTTTGATGTAATTGGGGATAACCTTTGATGTAGTTTGGGACAACCTTTGATGTATTTTGGGATAACCTTTGATGTAGTTTGGGATAACATTTGATGTAGTTTGGGACAACCTTTGATGTAGTTTGGGATAACCTTTGATGTAGTTTGGGGCAACCTTTGATGTAGTTTGGGATAACCTTTGATGTAGTTTGGGGCAACCTTTGATGTAGTTTGAGATAACTTTTGATGTACTGTAGTTGGGGATAACCTTTGATGTAGTTTGGGACAACCTTTGATGTAGTTTGGGGCAACCTTTGATGTAGTTTGAGATAACCTTTGATGTACTGTAGTTGGGGATAAACTTTGATGTAGTTTGGGACAACCTTTGATGGAGTTTGAGATAACCTTTGATGTAGTTGGGGATAACCTTTGATGTAGTTTGAGATAACCTTTCATGTAGTTGGGGATAACCTTTCATGTAGTTTGGGACAACATTTCATGTAGTTGGGGATAACCTTTCATGTAGTTTGGGATAACCTTTGATGTAGTTTGGGATAACCTTTGATGTAGTTAGGGATAGCCTTTTATATATTTCAGGATATTCATTGTTATAGCTAAGGCTTTGACGTAGTTTGAGCTAACTTTTGATGAAGTTCAGGATTGCCTTTGATAAAGTTTAGAATAACCTTTCATATAGTGCAGACTAATCTTCAGTATAGTTGACGATAACCTTTGATATATTTTAGGCTAATCTTTTATGTAGTTCAGGATAACTTTTGATATTTTTCAGGTTAACTTTTGATATACTTCAAGTTAAACTTTGTTATACTTCAGGTTGACCTTTTCAATAAAAGTACCTTTAATCTACAGGAAAGATTATTTTTCACACACCTTCATATTTCCTCCCCAGATCCTTCACCAGCTGGGAGATGTAACAGTGTCGGGCTGAGAACAGRGCATTCACCCAGCCCTCCTGAGTCCGGTGATCTCTTGCTAAGAACCTGTAGGTTTTGAGCCCAGGTCCGAACACCAGAGAGAAGGCCAGCGGTTCTTCGGACTCTGAGCGCTGGACGGCGCAGCCCTCCAGCACGATGACGCCCAGCAGGTGTCGGTCAGCTGGACGCTCCTGGTAGAAGAGCATGTTGGCCTTCAGGACAAACCACCGCCGCTGAAAGGTGCCAGTTCGCTCCTTCTATGAAGTCAGACAAAAAGTTGTTTTTTTTAAGTAAACAGAAAACCTATTAGGAATTCTGTGTTTTGTGAGGTTTCAAAAACCTTCTTGAGGAGATATCCCTCTTTATCTACTGGTGAGGGGCAGGACAGGTAATGAGTCAGAATCTTCTCATTAATCTTCATTCCAGCTTCTGAATAAACGTTCAAACCTAGGAATCATCAAGAAGAAGGAGGTCAGTAATGTTCATCATGTGCCTGTTAGCAAAATATCTCATGACCCACTGGATGGATTTTATTGAAACTTTCAGGAAAATTAACTGATTTTACCCTTAAAACCAGGTGACTTCTGAAGTTAACCTTATTCAAGATGGCCCCCACAGCCAAGTGACCTTCAATGACACAAAAATGACTATGCTCAGTCAATTTTACAAATATTGTTGTAAAACTTGGTGTGGTAAAGCAAACTCTTCACATACAGACATTAACAGTCAGATACCTTTACTCAAAATCTATTTTCTTATTGTTCAGTGATTATTAAAGTAGAATAAAATGTAAAAACTGAGACAGACTTACCTTTGAGCCAAACTCTTCGCAGAGTTAATTTAAATCCTCGTTACTGAACACATTTTCTTTTGATTCTTGTCGCTCTCGTTGATTTTCCACCTGGTTTGATTCATCCAGGACCAGACAATGTTTGKCTATTCAGCTTCAGGTTACCAACACGGTCCTCTCATGGGAACCAGAGGACGGGTGCTGAAATATAAATAACTCGACCCACTTCCTGGTAACAATACCCTGGCATATTATATTCTCTCTTGAGTCTGCCTTGAGCTGCTGTGGCAGAACTGAATACAGCAGCTCAAATGGGTGCAGCTGTGARAAGAGATACCTGGAACTGAAAATGTTGAAGAGGACTTTCTGCCTCAGATTGCTCACTTCTGCATTTCCTTTACGCTTTTATTTATGTAAGTTTCATTTGAGTCTGATGATATACAGAGGCGGATGACTCACCATGGGATGAATATTCATTTATGCGAGCAGAAGCAGGCAGATATCCACTGACCTTAACATTGGTTGTTTATTTTTGATATCCTTTTTCTTCTATTGGAGCTGAAGGTATTCTGGAAAAAGTATTCAAGAGTTAAGACACCCGGGGATGAGACATTATATCAATTTAAAAAAGAAAAAAAATGGTACAGGTCTTCTGGACGGGTTCTCTAATGAAACATTTCATCTCTTCTCCAAGAGACTTCTTCAGTCTGAGAGTTTCAGGCAAAATTCAGGCTTTTAAGCACTAAAATCAGACACCACTCTCAGCAGCGGAACCACACTTTCCACAGAACAAGTGTGCCAACTCCTCAAACTGTGCCTGGAGTCAACCTACTTCACGTACGGGGGCAATATTATAGGCAGAAACATGGGTGTGCCATGGGATCCCCAGTTTCTCCTATTGTTGCKAACCTGTACATGGAGGAAGTGGAAAAGAGAGCCTTGATGTCCTTTTCAGGGGTGCCACTGAGCCGTTGGTTCAGATATGTTGACGACACCTGGGTTAAAATTAAAGCCCAGGAAGTCCAACATTTCACTGATCACATCAACTCTGTGGATGAATATATTAAGTTCACATGAAAGGATGTAAAAAAATGGCAGGTTGGCGTTCCTGGATTGCGATGTCTCGGTTTCGGATGGAGGACGATTGGAAGCTGGCGTATATCGTAAGCCCACCCACACAGACCAATATTTGCGTTTTGACTCCCACCACCCACTGGAACACAAGTTAGGAGTGATCAGGACTCTGTACCACAGAGCAGACAGTGTCCCTACAAACCCAGGAGCCAGGCAGAAAGAGAAATCACACACACGACAGGCCCTGGAGCAGTGTGGTTATCCTGACTGGGCTTTCCTGAAAGCAGACAGGAAACACAGACAGGACTCCATGCAACCTTCAGGTGAAAATGAAGACCCCAAACCCAGACCCAAACCAGTGGTTATTCCGTATGTTGCGGGTGTTTCGGAGAAACTGAGACGTTTATTTTCTAAACATGATGTCCCAGTGGCTTTCAAACCCCAAAGCACATTACGGCAAAGGCTGGTTCACCCCAAAGATCCGGTGCCCCGGCACAAACAGAGCAATGTTGTATATGCTGTTAAGTGCCAGGAGGACTGCGACCAGCTATACATCGGGGAAACAAAGCAACCACTGTTCAAAAGAATGTCCCAACACAGACGAGCTACATCTAATGGCCAGAACTCTGCAGTTTTCACTCATTTACAGGCCAGCGGTCACTCTTTCAGAGATGAGGATGTTCTCATTCTTGATAGGGAGGAACGTTGGTTTGAGAGAGGAGTAAAAGAAGCCATTTTTGTGAAGAAAGACGTCCATCATTAAACAGAGGTGGAGGCCTCCGCTTTCAGTTGTCCCCCTCCTACAGTGCTGCTATTGCCAGTATCACTCCACCCCATGTTAACAATACGATAGCCATGTGATGTGAATATCAGTCACATGGAGGCAGTGCTTAAAAGCCTGAATTTTGCCTGAAACTCTCAGACTGAAGAAGTCTCTTGGAGGAGAGACGAAACGTTTCATTAGAGAAGAACCCGTCCAGAAGACTTATACAATTTTTTTTCTTTTTGATTTTTTACCTGGATTACTGAGATGCATCAGGATATATCAATTTAAAGCTGCTGTTATATTTATTTCATAAAAGAAAGAAAGACCTCACTGTATGACTGGAAGCAAAAACAACGTSGTAAACTGACTAACTATTGGTGAAAACTACTTGATGTTTATTTTATATATTTGTTTTAAGAGTATAATTTATTTAAATAAATGTTCAATCATACTTTGCCCAAAACTGGACCAAAAAAAATAAATAAATAAAACAACTTAATTTAGCTTTCCCTATTGTGGAGATGTAATTCTTGTCCTCACCGCCTAGTGGCGCCAATGCGTCAGTTTGTGAGTGCTGCTGCTAAAAAAAACAACGAAGAAGAAAAAAACACGACCGTAGCTTGAAATATTTTTAGCAGGTTTTCAGCACGCTAGCATTCATTAGCTTTCTCGCATTTTTTATTCATCATAGCAAAAAATATAGTTTATTTAAAATATGCCTTAACGCTAAAAGTCGTTTCACCCGAAGGCATTGTTAGATCTGTGGTAAAAGCGTGACTTGTTTTTCACGCGCCATGCTACTCTGTTGTAGCAACAAAAGCTAAAATGAGTTTCGCTGCATAAAACCAGTTTATATTTACACTCTTTTCTTACCTACACTTGCGTTACGAGAGTAAAACAATAAAGAGTTGATTCATCCCCTTTTCGTGGCACCATGTCGAAAAGAAAAGTAACATTTGAGGACGGAAACGAGGAGTTTGACCTGGAAGACGACGGCCCAAATAAAAAGGTGCTCCGTTAAACACAGTTTACTGCTGCTGTTGGTCAAATAAGGAGTTAGTTAAAACATTGCTTTGTGAAGCCATCATAAATTAATGACCAGTAGACCTAAATCAAGCAGGCTTTTTGACTTTAGTTGTAAAAACTAGTAGTTTTTAGCCTAAATGTGCGTCAGGAAAACTGTTGTTGATGTAAAATTCAWGTGTTTTTAGCTGCTACCTCCTCAGTTTACACAGATCCAGTGTGTTTGGCATTTTAACTTGAATTGTTTTGGTAATTTGACATTAAACTCTCACTTTTCCCTTCAGTTTGTTTGCTTCCTTTGATGGAGATGTTTACTTAAGTGACTGTCTGATAGTTTTTTTTTTAATATATTTTAGATGAACTGGACTATATGTAGTTAAAATTTAACTGGTTGTGCTGAATAAGGTTGTAAATTGTTTGCATGAAACTGGTTTTGAAATGGACCTATGCCTGATTGATAATGATGTGCTGCAGATCGATACTGAAATATCGATACTACCGATACCAGATTTTTGTTCTAGAATCGATACTAAAATAAAAATATCGATGCCATGATATTTTAGTTGTTCCCTATAATGTTCATCATTAACAATAAAATAGTGGAAAATAACTAAACTATTACAATCTTATCTTAAACATGTGGTTGGAGGGAACTACTTTTTCTTCCGCTTCATAAGCACAGTGGCACGTGCTCTGTCAGTCACTCAGTCTGTACATGTATGGCAGGTCATTTTAACATAAATTCTGCTTCTGACTGTAATTAAATTCTAGATGAGGGGTTCCCAAACTTTTTTATGCCATGCCCCACCCACCCCCAAACAGCATTAGCTCTGTCCAGATACGTTCCTGCAAACACACAAGCAATGCTACAAAACATACAAAAATAACAACTTTTAAAATATTTTTCTCACTTTTATTCACTATTCAAAAATTATTGTATTTCTTAAGGATAAGAATATTAAATTGTGCTAAACAAATATAAGGTTAGGGTTAGAAAGACTTTTAAATTAATAAATGACTTACTATGTCATGTGTTATTTATAAAGCGGTGCTTTTAAGATTTAACAGACACATTATGTGTGTTATCACAAAGTATCAGTACCGCCGATACCAGACAAATTTTACTTGGTGTCAGTATCGGAAAGAAAATTGGCAGTATGGAACATCACTACTGATTTGATGTCAAGTTGTCACATAAAAAACCTGTCTGGGTGGAAAAAAATAGAATTATTTGTACACAATAGCTGTAACAACAGCACATCCTAGCGTTAGTTATAAGGATTACAACCTAAAAATGCTGCAAATAGAAAAGAAATGAAACAAAACAGACTTTATTGTCCTGCGGCGAGGAAATTCAGGTGTAATAGCAGCAGCAGATACATAAATCAGTCCACAGAAACAGTGTTTTTCTATGTGTCCTTATCAACTGTAGCAATAATAATAGAATTAATAAAACTAAAAAAAAGGAATATAATAAAAATTACTGTACTGGACTATGAAGATGAAAGAAGATAAGATACCGTGCATTAAAAAAAAAAAAGTCCAGAACGATAACGGTTTACACTAAATTAAAACATTGTTTTTGTTTTTTTAACACAGAGCTGTGAAGCTGTCAGTGGACCAGGCTCCAGATTCAAGGGTAAACATTCTCTGGACAGTGACGAAGAGGATGACGAGGAGGTCACAAAGAGCAGCAAATACAATATTCTCGACAGTGATGATGTGGAAGGTACGTCCAGTTTTCAACGACAGATAATGTTTTTTCCCACTCTTTTTACATTATGTACACAAAACTTTGAGAACATGCTCCTGACTTGTTAACATCTAAATGTTGTCCTCCCTGTTATTCTGAATTGGGAACAAATTTTATCAGGACTGATGCAAAGGTTTTCCTAAATTCATTTATTCACAGGTTTAWAAGTGAAATTATACTTTGGCTTAGAAATGTAATTTGTTGATTGTTTAACAAATGTTCTTCAGGCCAAGAAGGAGCAACAATTGARTTTGATGAAGGAGTGTCCATCACACCTTTTAACCTGGAGGAGGAGATGCAGGAAGGACACTTTGATTCAGAGGGAAACTATTTTGTCAAGAAGGAAACACAYATTAGGGACAACTGGCTTGACAACATAGACTGGGTTAGAGCTTTTAAATATATATAAAAAAGTTGTTTTGTGGACTTTGCATCATAATTGATCAGGTAAATTTCCTGTTGCAGGTGAAAATAAAAGAGCAGCCTGTGAAGAAAAAGAAAGGCCTCGCAGCCAAACGGAAGCGCAGAGTGGGCGACGAAGACGAGGCTGAAGAGGAAAAGCAGAGAGAAGAACAGCAGGCGGGCGAAGAGGAGGAGGAGGAGGACGAGACGCCCGCGGAGGACCCCCTGGCGTCGCTCACGCAGCAGCAGCTCGTCGAAGCCGTGCTCGAGCTGCTGACGCCCGGGGAGACGGTGGCCGCGGCGCTGCGGCGGTTAGGAGGCCTCGGAGGACGCAAGAAGAGAAAACTGAGGGAGGAKAACGAAGCGACGGAGGAGACGACGAGAGACGCGGACAAGCTGGACAAGCTCACGGCTTTAGCGGACAGGCTGGTGGGATCCGGGATGTTTGAAATCTATCAGCAGACCTTCGAAAAGCTGGCCTACGTGATGAAGAGCATGAGCAGCAAGCAGCCCGCGCTGGGGAGGAAGCAGAGCGGTGACGASGAGGAGGAGGATGAACTCGACATGTTTGGTGATAAATTTGATGAGAAGATTGGAGAAAAATCAGAGGAAAACGAGGAGGAAGACAGAAAAGGTTGTTTTGTCTCAGTTTTATGCAAATTGAGAAATTGCATTTCCTGCGAAAATGCTAGTGTGAATGTGTCATCTGAAAACTTTAGCTGAAAGATGCTGAAAATATTTAACTGCAAAAGTCTTAAAGTGAACTCATTTTGAAAAACAAAGAAGCAAAAAAAGCCTAACTTTGAAGAAAAACAGTAAAAAGTAGAAGAAATCCAGTTGAAAACAACAGAAAACAGCTAAAAGCTAAGAGATAAAATACCTGAATATAGCTGAAATCATCTGTAAGAAGCATAAGTAGCAGAAATTGGAAAGCAAAAGAAGGTGAAAAAAGCAGAATAGCAAAAAGAGCTAAAATAGCAAACAAAGCTAAAATTATTATATAATAGGCGAAAAATAGCAGCCACAAGTTGAAATTAGCACCTACATGGTAGATGGCTGGAAAATGAATAAAAATAGCAGAAAAATGCGTAAAAGTAAAAAAGAAATGACAATCTGTAGGAAATTGGCTAAAACAGCCAAGATTTTCTGTAAAACAGCTAAAAAGTAGCTGTAAATTCTGTAATTATTATAAGGTAGCTTAAGGAGGACAAGTTTGCTGAAACTTAGCAGAACAAAGTTGTAATTGCTACATAAAAATGTGTATTTAGCCTTAAAAAGTAAACTTTAGCTTATAACAGCTGAGCATAAGCTAAAATTTCTAAAAAAGCTGTTTACAGCAGAAAGCATCTGTTAGAAGCATAAGTAGCAGAAAAAGTGGAAAAAAGCAGAATTTTAGCTGATATAGCAGAAAAATGCTAAAATTAGCAAAAAGTAGCTAAAATTAGCACAGGACAGTGAAAAAGAGCATAACCAGAACAAAATGTGTAAGGTGCTGTAAAGATTTAGAAATATTTTAAAGGAGTTTAAGGATGTTGAAAAAAGCTCCATTCATTTTTAATGGCAAAAAAGTAGCTAAAAAATAAAATAGCTAAAAAAGTATAAATAGCTGAAATACCAAGAGTCATGGCACCCCTCACATAATCGATCTGAATGTTTTGAAATAGGAATTGTTGAAGTAGCACAAAACTTGTAGAGRGAATTAGACGCTGAAAAACGTACGGGAGAAGAAACGGTCTCAGTGTGAATGCTGTGAGGCGTCACAGTTATCAAGGTTTTGTTTWTTTATTTTACTTTATTTTCTCCTCAGTGAGTGATGAAGTGATGTGGGAGTACAGATGGGAAAATAAGGATGATTCAGAAATCTATGGGCCCTTCACCAGCCAACAGATGCAGGTAAAACATCTTTTTTTAACCCGTACAAGTGCAGAAATTACAAAAACTATGATCATAAACACTCATCTGAGTAAATCTGTTTACTGGACCGAGTCGTTCACTGGTTTCCTCGTTAACCTCAGTCTGACCCGGTGGGCTTTAATCTTCTTACTGGTGTGTTTTCCAGGGCTGGGTGGATGAAGGCTACTTCAGCAGCGGGGTCTACTGCAGGAGGGTGGACCAGGAGGGATCTCAGTTCTACAACTCCAGAAGAATAGACTTCGACCTTTACACATGAAATCTGTGAACTGTCAAGAAAATAACCAGGAGTTCTTTGAACGTTTCGCCTACAATATTTTTGTTTCCGGGGTTTTCCCGTTTGTTTTTCTGGATGCTGTTTTTAAATAAAAAAAGAGGTTTATGTGGGATTTTTTTTTTCGTCATGTGACTAAATAACAGATCAACAACATACAGTAAAGTGATGATAAATTCATTTAAAGGGGGAGGGAGTTGAAATATCGGGGTTGTTTACAAGTGATGGTGACCTTGGAGATGGGCTGAGAAGTTTTGCTCTACATCAAAAGGAATCAGCTGAAGGATTAATGATCCTTTCTGGCCATCAAACTCCGGGATCCCCCATGAGGAGCTGGAAGTGCTGCTGAGGGATGGGATTAGTAAGGCATTTGAAGCTATAATTAATTGCTTCTACATAAATAAATTATTAAATAATTATCATTAATAAATAATAATTGTCCTGTTATTTGTCAAATTATAAAATTAGGGTCTTTTACAACTGGTTCACCCCAGCACATGAAAGAATTGTACTGCGTTCATYTATTTTCCCGTCGCACTCCTATTGGCTGCCCTACACCGGCGACCCTAAAACTCCTCACCCGATTGGTCAGATTTTAAGAAGGCGTTTCGAACGGAGGCGTCTCGGGCTGTGATTGGATGTTCCGGCCTGCCTTTGGTTGTTGTAAAAACGGACACATTTCTGGTCTCGCTGCCTGCTGCTGTAGGGCGCCGTCCGTTTGGCATGTTTTGTTTACGGCTTGTTCGGTGTAGTCACCCCCGGTCCAGTTAAACGATTCAGGTGAGCTTACCTTACGCTATTTAGTCACAGTTATCGTGTTTATCTACGCTTCAAAAGGAAAATATTCCCGCTTGTCCCGTGTAAGCATCGCGGCGCGTTTAGAGAAATGACAGTTCCCGGCTACGACTATTACCTGGTGTAAGCGCAGTAGTGGGTCTCTTGGCGTTTAGCCGAACCGCGAAGTGCCGAAGGAGTTTTTAAATGAAGCTCTGWTATGATCTACTTTAAACTGTAACAGATCACATCTTAGTGACAGCCATCTTATTCGAAATACATGGTTGTTGGTTGTTGTAATTAGCTCATAATTTAAAAATATGTATATTATTTCCAGCAAGTAGACGGTGCTCATTTTTGATAAATGTGCCGCTTCTTTTGACTCAAAACACTCGCTTAAATCATCGCGTGGTTTCTGAAATTACTCYTTGTTGTTGGTTTTCTGTTGTTAGACGTGAGCTGAGCAACTTTTCCATAACATGTGTTTAATAAATTGGAAAAGAGAGTTTATCTAAAATTAAATTCACTCAGCTGTTCTTTTAATCGCCAAATAATGCGTTAAATAGTGTTTTAAATGTTACAGTTCTTGTTCATATTAGGCTGCATTACAGTAAATTGAATCATTAAAGAACCCACTTTAGTAAACTATGTCCTTAAATAAACAAACATTAGTAATTTGTGCTTTTTTAGTTCAGCTTTTTTATTATTCAGATAAGATAATTCACATACAGCGGGTAAAATAAGTATTGAACACGTCACCATTTTTCTCAGTAAATATATTACTAGAGGTGCTAATGACATGAAATTTTCACC